ATATTCGTTCCATTCTTTGACTCCATCTAAACTTTAGTTCGGTAGCAAGGAAAGAAAAGTCTACGAATTCAGCATGTTTGCACTGCAGAGAAATACATAAAAGTAGCCTTGCTTAACTGCTTTATCAATGTAATTCACTAAAAATATGAAACAATGACTGAAAAAAGTGCAACTGTCATGTATGTACCTAGGGTTACCCCTAATACAACCGCCTAAGATCATTTTATAGCAACACAGCCAACGTTCCGTAAGATGAGCAAGAAAACCAAAACATGATTCTGGCGGCGGCCAAAGTAACATTTCCCAATAAATATATATTAATGAATACTTTGAACAGAAAACTGAAGATTGCTGAGACGCTTTCTAGAGATACTAAAGAAAATCGATAAGTAACTGGAAACAGCCGAATCAATAGCTCAGGAAAGTGCGGTGGCGAAAATTTCTTAAGAAATGCCTAAAACTTTACTGTGTGCAACAGTAGTTTTATATCTCTGCAGAGTTATATGCCGCCATCATCAACGATCTCTGCAACAGTTTTTATTGGCGAATACCTCTTCGAACGGTTCTTGACCAATGAAAAAGCTGTTGACAGTAAGGGTTGCGAAGCCGGAGTTGCAAATTCTGAATTAACGCACCGAAGTCTCCTGAAAATTGCTCAAATGGCTGGACGACCATCACTCCAGTAATATTCTGATAATATTCTGATGATATTTCGCGACTCAGTCAGCGTTGTTGTTATGTGTAACTTACTAGTGTATTTAGGGATGTGAAAGTCTTAAAAAAAATGACCGAAATGAAAGGGGATTGACAAAGCACCAACAGGACACATGTCACTCGCGGACTGTTGTATCGTAGATAGTTTCACTGCTACGTAAATTTCTTTCAGTGCTGCTGATTATTTGAAATCGACAAATGTCACAAGAAAAATATTTTTGAAAGTTGATTGGCGAGGTTCGTAGAAAATTGCCGTTTTGAAAGCAGCGGTAAACATTCCATTCTTTAGTACTTTAAATGACCGGACGAAACAACGCTATCACTGTCATTTTTTCACTTATGACCTGAGAAATGCTCTTTACTTTTACAACATTTTTGGTTAATAATAAACCACGTTTTCAAAACAGTGTAACAGCTGCTACTTATAGCTGGAAAATCCATCACCGACTGTTTGTTTACACCTAACTTGACATGATTTATTGGCTTACAGATGCACAGGTTTTGGTTGTAACGGCCAGAACTTATGGCAGTTATTCAGACATTCCGGGTTTTAGTTATTTGGGAAATGGGCTTCAGTTTCATTTGCCGTTCTGGACGTCCTTTCACTGCCAGTATACAGGAAGTTTTTTGACCACTAACAATCCTTTTTTTATCTTTATGTAACAAATATATCAATTAGACATCTCGTAGTTGATAAGTCTTTTTTCTGAAAAAATATTCTTCTCTATAGCGTTTGTTGGGGTTATTCATGCAGCCACTTAGTTACAGCTTTTTTTCAATGAGGCAAACTGTTGCGATTTTATCGATATGTAGCTTACTGCCGATCCACTTTTTACCACTTGCTTAGCAAACAATATTTTGAACGTTTTTCAGAAATGGCTGTTATTGAGTTCGCTCCTCTGAACATTCCACTTGAAAGGAGACTTCAGACGCTTGCTGTTGTACATTATGTGTTCTTCTTTCTAATTGCTCCTCCATTATCCATTTTCCTTGCCATCTATTTGCTGTTTTCTCGTTTCTGGTAGGTCTTTATTGTCATTTAACAGAAATCGGAGAAGATACCATGAAGATTTTTTTACCCCATTAATTTTTACTTTTGATTTTTATATCCATTGGTTTTCGCTTTGCTACATAGTTCTCTTTAAAGTCTTACGGCCAACAAAATGCTTATAAAAGAGGAGCTTTGGTTTTTTTGCTTTTTGAGAATCGTACAGAAACTGTTCTTTTACTTTACAAGGTTTTATTTTTGTAAACTAATGCCTTGTACTAGTATTTCTTGTAAACTTCTCATGCATAAACATTCCCCGCTTGAAATTTGTCAAGTTTTTGAACATTTAAAGACTTAACCCTTAACAACTGTTACTGTTCAGGTTTCGGTTTTACCAAGACTAAGAGTCGGTTTATAAGGTTTTAAACTGACTGTGATAGTTTTACTCTTTTTGTTATTCTTTGTAAATGTCGTTCTTGTTGTTTAAAAAATACAAAGTAGTATAGTGCTACTTTATTTTCCAGTGTGTTGATTCCAGGTGGATCAACATCTTGTATGGGATTTGGCTGTATTATGACCGAGACGCACCAATCCGTGGTTATCGTCGAATGAAGTGGTTCCAAGGAAGTGTTATATGGAAATACTTTGCAGACTATTTTCCCCAAAAACTGATAAAGACAGCTGATTTGCCTTCGGATCGGAACTACATCATTGGGTTATCTTTAACATTCGTTTTTATCAAGCAGAGAAACAATTTTCAATCTCTTCTGCACGGGAGAACTTTATTTACCATGATCCTATTTGTCTGAGATTATTAGAGGACTAGATGGGCTGAACTAAATAGAAAGCACTAGTCAGTGACTACTACTTACTTCTCGATAAACTTTTTGAATACTATTTGGGAAGCACTAGCAATATAAGTTTCAGCGCTCATCCTCACGGAATCATGAGCTTAGGAACGTTCACGACGTTTTGCACGAATGGGACTGGCTTTTGGGACAAATTCCCTGGACTTACACCATATTTGGCTACCCTTCCTGGGCAGTTCCTATTTCCTTTTAGAAGAGAATATATCTTATTGGCAGGTAAACCAGATTAACAGCAGTCTGGAAGTTCATATTGTTCTTTTGCTAACTGCTGTAACAGTAAAGAGGTATAGCTAAGGTTCTGGTAGTCCCGGATTCAGAAAGCCGACTCCAGCAGCATTTGGAATGTAGGAGGTTTAAGCGCTTTTAAACACTAGTACAGTTTAGGTGTTCTCAGTTGTCGCAAACAAGGCTTATTAAACTTATTGAACAATCAGAAGGGTTTGGTTTTGGCAATTGTCCTGGGAGGTGCTGAGGAAGCACTGGAATGCCGTCACGACAATTACGACTTAATTTTGCGCAAGAGAAAAGGATTTGTAAGGCTCGCGTTGGAAACAGGGTGGCGTTTTTCCGCATAGTTTACTAGAAAGTTATATGAAGACATATGTTTGGTATTAAGTAGTAGTTTATTCATGGTCTCAAGCTGAACAGTTCTGAAATTTTCTGGGGCTGGCAATCATCTTTCACTGTAGCATCGTAAGCATGTTTCGTACTCCTTCAGTTGGCCCTTTAACTCTGCTAATGGTTTACAAATGTGGTAACCAATCTTCTTTTCTAGAAGCGCTCTGGTACCATGTTATATGTTTGGAGAAAATGATACTTACAATCAAGTGTCAAACAATAGAGGGACGTTACTAAGGAAACTGCAGGTGGAAATTTAATACTGAGGTCTTTCTGTTCTGGGTTCCCTTCAATAGTCAACAGACTGTTTGAAGTTCAGGTTACATTTCGGCGTTACGCTGGATTCAGCACTCCAATAATTTTTGGCCGAGGGATCTTCAACTACACTTTCGGAGTCCTTCCTTTCAGGACACCAATCCACACTGTTGGTAAGATTTTGAACTGTGTAAATGAAAGCTAAGTTTGCCCCTCAAGTTTCCAACATGTGTCATTTACTGAGTCCTTTTCTTTTTGATCCCACCATCGTTCCTTTGGAGAGCTACTTTTTCAGTTGGTCGGCCTATTAATGTGAAACCAACCCCAAATCCCACCAACGAAGAAGTGGATGCGTTGCATGAAACGTATTGTGAGGAGCTAAATAAACTTTTTGATGAAAACAAGGGGAAGTACGGGATCAGTCATGACACCAAGCTGCATTTCATTTAAAAATGTCGGTCACGATCAACTTTTTCCGCCCCTGTCTACAATCAATTTTATACTACTACTTACCCTCTTTTCTTCTCAGTTAAGATTCGTAGCTATTTTCAGTAACGCCGGGTAAGTGTTACTGATTTGGCTTTTGGCAATTTTAAACCAACTAAACGTTAAGAATAGCTTAATTTCTGCAGAAGTCTATTTGAACAAATCTCAGTGACCACTGCGGTTTCGCAACATCAGCATATTTAAAACACGGAATTTGTAGCATGATGCAATAGTTATGGTTATAATAGTTGGAGTTTTTTCATAATTTATTTCACTCGGAAAACAAGCAGAATAACACCGCTTTTTACTTGGTCACTGAAAACGTGCAAGCTATGTAAAGGCTATGTAAAAAAAAGTAAGACCGCTACCACTTTTCTCTTCTTGTACTTTGTTCTTATAATATATGAGACAGTAGTCACTGGAAGGTGCAGAAATTAGCATCTCGTTTTACAAATACCTCGCTTTTCATTTCTGTCCAAAGGCGGTTTTTCTAAAATGTATAAATATGCATCACTTCAGTCGTTTCTTCCGCAGATCAGTCAAAGATTTAGGTTTAGATAAAACAAGGCCTATTTTTTGTATGTCCCTTCACAGTGTCATCTGGAGATGAGTGTACGACGTTATTAGGAGAAGAGGCAGTAGGTGCGTAACCGTTTTATTAAGGATGAAGCCATCAGTCCTCCTTTCCGTTTGTTGACAGTCTAGGCCCGTTTTAAAACTGTAGACTTATAACGAGCGAAATTTGAGGCGTAGGCCGAAACTTGGATAAAAGCATGCCACGGCACTGTTGATACATCTTGATCGGATCAATATGCGTGCTATGCCCAAGCCGACCAGAGAGTCTTAAGGTTCTTCTCCCTTCTCAAACAGTCAAATGAGGATTTCATTTGCTTGTGTTTTAAAATTTGCATTGCTTTTGTGCTTACATATGAATTTTTATTTTAGATAACGTGAAGGGATCAAGCCGTCGCAGTGCTTCACTAAGTGAAGGAGACCTATTAAATTTTTGAAGAATCATAATGCCTTTCCTGAGCGAAGCAATAAAGTTCTTTGCAGAACGGGAAAGCAGTCTAAAAAAAATTGGGACGGCGCGCTGTTCACAAAACGTAGCAGAGAAAAAACCCTCATAGGTAGTACAGACCTTTTGGTGATTCTATAGCTGAAGTTAGAAAATGATTGTGGCTAAACTGAGGCTGTGCAAGAGGGACATGTGCTAAACAAACATGTCCTTTGTTTAATGGCAAATGACATCGTAAAGCAGGCTGTTGTCGTGTTTCACAAAAACCCACGTATTATAAGGGAACCAGCAGCTTGGGCACTTTCCGGAAGTTCAAGTCTTAGAGAACAGGTGGACTTTATTCGACGTCGTCTACGGCAGCGCGCGATGTGCTTTAGGTACAGGCAAGTACTCTGTCCACTCTCACCTGTACTAAATTTCATCTGCAAGATGATTGCTGTCACCCGCTAAAGTACACGCCGTAGCCAATATTGTGGAATTCATTCTGAAGTAAGCTTCCGTCCCAACTATTCTTGAAGCACAAACTGGTCACAATTGAAGCAGTACTCGCGGCCAGTCTCAGACCTCAACAAATTTACCAGTATTTAGTTCTAAAATAAGACAGGCGTAGTGCGGTGGTCACTGTTACGGTCCTGAAATGGCATCTGCTCTTAATCAGTTCTGAAGAGTACCGACTAAGTTAAACGGAATTCCGCGCCCGGCCTACCTTTTTCGAGTGGCACAACGTGTCCGCGTATTACACTGACCTTTATAAGTTTTGAGAAGCCACCAGTGAACTTAAAAACCACAAATTCAATCTTGTTTGATCTCACACTACTGGCATGAATACTGTAACTCCTTTGATACTCTGCATCAAACGAGTTCCCCAAGAGCTCAATAAAGTAACTTTTGAAGAGAAAAAATCTCGCAGATTTTAGGGTGGAGCAGGCAAATGACTCAAAAGCTTCCCCTTTTGATCACTTGATAACAGTAATACTCTGACTACTTTAAAAATACAAAATGATTATATATAGAACAGCACCAGAAAACGCCACGTAAGGATATTAACTTGTTCTAGGGATATATGTGGATAATTTCATCCTCTCGGGTGGTAAAAGTAACCAGTACCTACAGTCTACCAAGCAGCAGTGGCAAGGATGATATATTGGTCCAGTCTCGGTCAGAACTGTCAGTCGTAATCATTACATTAAAATTGCATCGTCTCTAGCCCTTTGGAATGTATTTTCATTTCTAACTTGTTTTCAAGAACACTGCAACGCAGAGGACCACTGCCACACCTAAAGCTATGTGAACACGAGGCAAAGCAATTCCATGTTACACCCTGTCATTGCCTCTTTGTTTAAGCGGTGGCAAACGACCCGCAGTTCTTTCTAATATTTGAATCTGCCGCTTTTGAGCCGTGACCTAACTTTTCCCCAGCTACCGATGTGCAGTACTCGAGGAAAAAATTTGAGAAATCTCTTTTACGGGTATGCGGTATTTTGGTGTTGAGAGTTATTATTAACAAAACTTCTTGGACAGAAGTAACCACACGACCAACAACAAACTAAATTTGGATTAATATCTTGGGATATACTATGGGCGAAAACATTTGTCATCGACACCAGGCCCATTCAGTAACCAATTAACAATGAGAAATTTCTAGTATAATTAAAATATGCGAGTCCAGCGTATTACAGTAATTATCTAAAGTTCCGCAAATCCGCCGAAAACGACAAAATTCTCCATAAAAGTGAAGGTACCTGTCTACTTCAAGTCAGATTCCTAAAAGTTTTGCCACCGTGACTTCAAAGTATTAGAGTTTGCTCAACTAGACAGTTAGAAACACGTGCAGCCGTGGGTCCAGCTTATTTAAGTAGGACCTTTATTAGAGGAAAAGCACCTACGGTGAAGTAAGTGTCCATGATGAACATTCGGCCAACAGATCGTGAAGCACCCTCCACAACACTTTTTGGAATGGGTGACTGTGATTTGAACAAATCTCTGAAAGAGCAGACAACAGAAATTGGTGGGTTACCTATAATCTACTCAACACACTTACCCTTCATGTTCCATTATCATAGCTTCGCCGAAGCGTTTTTGAATGGTTTTTTCCTCAGGTAGCTCGAGCAGCCTGGTACTCTCTCTGCTACAACTTCCACCTATAAAAACAGTGAGAATTTTAAATAATATGCGGCGCTACCCATTTATAAAATTCCAGTCTGACTCCCATTGACATTTTTCAGTCGAAATGAACATAAAGACACTTTAATAATTAATATACAAAAGTTCTTGAGCAACAAGCCCGGCACTACCTGAAAAGGCGCCGTCAACTCTCCAAAAAGACGAAGATATTAAATTAGAAACTAGATAACACTGCCCCTTCGAAGGAAAGTGAGACTCAAAAAAGCATAACCGACCGGAGTTAGTTCCTGTGATGTCTAGTAACCCATGTGAAGAACCATAAGAAGCTTTCGTAGCTGATGTCGAGGGCGTCAGTTCCCCAAATTGAACTTCAAGTAGGTTCACTTTAAATTGAACTGAAGATGCAACATTCACGAGGCTAATTCATGACTTAAGAAAACCTACCATGAGAGAGAACGTCCAAGACAAAGGTCCTTGGCTTTTGTCCCAGCATTGTGAGCATAAAATCGTTTTCTCTCTTCGGTAGTTGTGGCTCTGAAACACTACGGGAGTTCAAGCTTTGCTTAGTAGAAGCGAAATGAAGCGGTTTTTAAAGACCTGATATCAAAATCTCTTGAGAAAGAATCAAAAAAAACATGTTAATCCAAGAAAAGATTGAGACCAGTAAGATCAGTCTTTTGCGTCTCAAGTTCCGGCGGTAACGAATCGCCTTTGCGCTTTTTACTGGCCCTACCGACAGGCGACAGACTATCAAGTGAGCGGGCTCTGCTCTTTCTCACTTTGGAGGATGATTCGCACTTTAAAAAACTAGCCATAAGAAGAACACCAGAAAGACATTGACCAAATAAAAAAACTTACAAACTCAAAGAAATTTGTTTTTTTCCCTCAGTTCTTAAGAATTTTCTAAGATCCTCTCAATGGATGACAAAAAAAATTGCTACTATGTACAAAATGACACATATCTTAGAAAGCCTCCATTACTGTAGACCTTACAATAACACCGCCGTAGTAATTGATAGTAAAAAAGACCTTTTTTTTTATATCTGGACCTTCCTCATCTGCTTCTTTTGCAGCGGCGTCCGGTCTTAATGCGATTTTAATCAAATCATTCAAATACATTTTATCTAGAGCATTCGTAAATTCAACATTAACAAGTCTTACATCGCTACTGATCTACCACTCTCACTATCTTCTTTCGAAAGCGACTGCATATCTTCTATTGAAGAACCTTCAGCTGAAACTAAATTAATTCAAATAAATAAAATCAAATAGTAGAAAACCCAATAAAAAAGACCTTGGTGTCATATTAAAAAGCTTTGGCTTACCTCTTACAACACGGATAAGATTGGTCTCCCCATCTAAAGAAAAAATTACACTACAAGATGTTATAAAACAATAAGTCGTGAGAGAGCTAGTTAAGAAGTAAGCAAGAAGAGCAGTTAGTCGAAACTTGCTCAGAATGGAAAAAATTTAAAAACGGAAGAATTACTTGTGCATTTATCTACTTACTCTCCGAGCGCGGCAATTCTTTGAAACCCGACAGAGAACCACATTGTCCTTCTTCGTATGGATACGATTCATAATTGTCGTCCCCTTTCCGTCCATCATTCTGAAGTACCAGAACTGCAGTAACTTATGATTTGAAGCAAAAACGACTGTTTACCAGCGAGAGATAGAAATATGTTAACAAAGCAAGTCTCTCAGTAGAAGTTTTCCAACAGAAAACTGAAATTTAGTAGTAAACAGATTCACGTTTACTGAGTTTGCTGGAACGTTTTGTTGAACGTCACTGTCTCAAACGTCATAGTCCGGTAATTTTTTCTTTTCTTTTTGAAGCTATCAAGATGATACTTTTCAAAATAACCGATTTTCAGCCCGTTTCAATTCGGACAAGTTCAGAAATTTTTGAAAAATTAATTCTTCTCACTTCCCAAGTTCGTTTTGAAATGCTGTTATTTTTTGAAGGCTGGCCTGCTTGCTTTTTTCTGTGTTCAGAATCTTCCCCATCAGTATCATCAAAGCTTTTAGAAACACAAACAGAACTGAACTTCAAAGAAAGCCTGAAACAAAGAAAGAACTTATTTTTGTAATTACAGTACTTTTACGATTTCTTTGAAGTAGAAAAATTGCAAGATTTTAATCGTCAAAGGTAAATACATGAGTTTTTAAAAATACTACGCCTAGAACCACAAAAGAAATTCTTCACAAACCTTTTTTTTTAAAGAAATTTTTTAAAAAAGGCGAGCTTTTAAATTATTATAACGTAGAAACACTCCATTTGAAACAGCTAACTCGTGATAGTTTCCAACGATGTGACCGAAAATTCCCCCATGATACGTAGTTCCAAAAGTGTACGAACCATGGCTAGGACCAAAATATTTTGGCTCATAATCCCATGGAGTACCTTAAAAACAATTTTTTTTAAAATATTAATATTTTGCTCGGACTGTCTTACTTGGATAATACAAAAGTTTAACGCTGAATTTGACAGGAGGCAACGAAGGAAGTTCGCCAAGATACATCCGTAAACGTGCAAAATAGTTTGCTATTGAAGTGCGAAGCGACTCCTCAGAAACGCCATTTGACTGCACCCGTAACGCCTCACAAGAGCTAAAAAGAAGCCAGGTAACTGAAAAGTCAACTTACTTCTGCCTATAAAAAAATTCAACTTACATCTGACAAAGATAAAAGACTGCATCTGGCTTTAAGAAAAGTAGGGATATTGTACAGTTCTGTTTCAAAGGGTCTGAATAGAATATACAGGAGCAGAAGATTAAAATGAACCAGGCAAATTTTACTGAATAATCAGAACAAAACGACAGATGCTATTATTTTTTCCTCACGCTGCAGTACAAAGTTCTGGGCCTGAACGCCCAATTACATGAAACGCCTCTATAAAGATGATCTCATATCAGCTACAGAGGAGTATTTTGCACACGCTTATGCAGAAAGTTTTCTTGTTTGTGTCAGCTACTTTTTATCCAAGCGGGCTCACAACTTACCTAAAGCGTAGGAGTCAATGTCAAAAAAAATGAGTACCTTACAGTGAAGGAGATAAAGGAAAAAGAACAGACAAGGCACGGCCAAAGACCATGCGGTGCTTGGGGAACGACTGGCTCAAGAGAGCTACCTTGACATCTGCTCAATTTTGGTTGCAAATTTTATCAGAACTGAAGATAAACTGTTTTTTCTTTTCTCTCTTTCAATCTTGTCGTCATTTTATACCAAATCATTGTTTTTTCCAATGGTTTTCTCTTGTAATCACTAGCAAGGCACTCCCAAACTTGCTAGGTTATGCGCAGAATTGTTAGCTAGAACTGGGAGAAATTTGCTCTCAAATACCACCACTTTGAAAACTTCAAAACTTCTACGAAAAATTAGTACAATGTTGGTGATTTAAGGGTCATTTCTTTACAAATAATAATCGGCAACTTTTCACCAAAGAGCTTAGAAACAAACGATTCAAAAAAGAATAGGACAAAAGTATGCCCAAAATGCCGCACCACTGGGAATTTGGGAACTCACTGACAAAAATTTGTAGCACCAAAGTAATCTAATAGCGCTCAGAAAAAAAACCTAACTTTGACTACAGAATAAGAATCCCGATAAACTGACTATGCACCTGAGTCTAACCAAATGGGAGAATTTACAGAATAATATCTACTTTGAAATGTGTATCAATTCTCAAACAACAGTGGGCACATAAGCCTTGGAAACGGATCTTTGCGTAAGGAATGAGAGAGTATTGTCAGCGGTTCGGTATAATCAAGAAACCGCAGATGTAGATTCCCATGGACTAAATCAAAGCAGTAAAGTGCCACTCCCAAAATTATAGAAATCTACTTCAAAAAGTACCCTAGTGATCTTTGTAGACCACTGAACAAAAGCCATTAGGTGTTTGGTGTAAACGGTTATCGCCAAAATCCACTGTAACTATCCTCAAACTGTATGCGGAAGACTGCGCACATTTTAACAACGGTAACCATTAAAGAAACATGAACAGCAGAAAAAAACCACAAATTTCATGCAGATCCTCCAAAAACTTGACGGACTGTACACTAGTGTACTGCCCCGCCACCATATTTACCGGAATTTTTCTTTTTCAGTCTCAGCCTGTTCTGCCTACCAACTACTTTCCTGACAAAGAATTTGGCCCGAAATTGGAACTGAGGTATGGCATCTTCAGATATAACCCTCATAGATGCGTCTCCAATTGAATGACTTTAAAACGTTAATCGGAAGCAGCGTTATATTTCAAAGTTAAAGCCAATAACACCTATGTAAATCGTTTCATCAATAAAGTATGGCAAATTAATTACTTGCAGACAATATCCTTAAATTTGACTCTCATAAATGCATTTTTCAAACAGTCTAATCTTTCACTACATTATTAGTGGAAAGATTCAGATACTATTGTTTTTTACTCTGACATACAGCGCTTCCTCCTGACCCACGCGTTAAAGTTAGTTAATTGGAAATACAGTAAATTCCGTTTCAATTTGACAACAATGAATGGTCTGTAAAATACAAAAAATTCATTTTCTGCAAAAGGGAGAAAAGTCACATCACACTTTTCCTGAAAATCAAGCCATCTTGATGACTGGAAAGTCATATTAGGTGTTATAAATGCAGTCAATTTTCAACCTGCTGTCGGTAAGCTTCCAAGTCAACGAAGTGTCAAAGCTGTCAACGGGTTGACATTTACATATTCGTAGCTGTGACACCGTTCCGGTAAAAGAATTTGATCATAAATTTCTACATTAATAAAGAAAACCATCTTAACTGAACCGACCAGTAATGTCATAATGAAATTTGTAGCCCGGATTGAAAACTGCTTGAGGCTTAAAAGAAGTGCGGGATTACTGTAATTTCTAGCTCTGAATAAGTGTTCTTCACGTACGCTACCCGCCGTAAGCTTCGCGAACGAAACATTTCTGCGAAGCAATTGCCCGCTAGAGGATGTAAACAGAAATTCAATAAGAAAAAGCATATAAATCAGACATAAGAGGTCTTATTTTACTTGCTTTTTCAAAGCTAGCCCTGCGCCATTTTCTTCATATACGATATGGAAATCATATACTTCCAACACTTGGTCATCGATTTCACTGCTGGATTTCAGCAACATTAACATATTTTTTAGCTAAATCAAACAGATGCATGTAAAAAAAAGGCAGAGCGCCTTAAAGGTTTACAAAAGAAAAACAACTCAAAAACGTGTAAACTCAAAACTTGCAGAATCAAAATCCCCGGCTAGATAATCTTCTGTAAGCTTAAATACTTCCAAAATAAAGTTACAAACAACGAAACACAATCTCAAATTATACATAATGTTTTTCAATGGCCTCGCTAATTGAAAACATTATCTCCTCAATTTTGTGACCCATATATGTTTTCCTGGCAAGCAAACCAATTTCAACGCCTGAAAAGTTGGACTGTTAAAAAGCAGTATTGACCGAATTCAGAGAACATCCACGAATGGTCACAAACTTTTAAATTCATGCAACTGGACGCTCAACTTGCCTTCAAATGTTTTTAACTTAAAAATTCGCTCCGGCAGTAGGTGTCTTAGCTTGAGGATGTTGGAGACAGAGAGAAACAAAAGTTGATTGATCAAATAATGTGATTCCATTTCGCTTTTAATATTCGTCATGAGTTGCAGCTTCGTGTCCTAAAACTCTTGAAAAGTAATTTTGAGAGTGACAAGAACTTAAATTATAATTCCTTACCTTCAACATCACCAAACTTTGCAATTTTTCAAGCCTAAAATAAAAAGTTATGACTGCAAAAAATTCTTACTTTTTTAGAGGCTTGTTTTCTGACTTCCATAATCGTTATTCTGAGAATTTTCTAATAAAAATCTGAAAAAGCTTTAAATCTGATACAGTTACTAACACTCCCCTTTACAGCAACTTTTTGCAGTGTGCTGTTCTAGCCCAAAATGTTTTCATTCAGTGGTAGGCGAAACAGTAATTAGAATAACTAAATATATGCATTATATGCCCATTACTGAGTATCATTACAAATGTGTTATAGTAAAAAGAGTTACTATATAAATTCCGCGAAGAAATCCTACGATCCTGATACAGTATCTCAAATTATGCAGAGTCCCAGATTATAACACGAGGCTAATTTTTTAGATATGACATGTGTAGGGCTCGTTGAAATTTGGGTGCAGAAATGATGCGTTGCCATCTTTAGCAACTATTCTCAGTCTACAACGACATACAAACCAGGTTAGCTCTTTGGTCCATCACAAATTTGTGTAATGTCAGCCAATAATCTATTGAAACTTTTGGTAATCATATTTGCTTAGTTTTTTTCTTACCTTCATTTCCAACCCGTTCTCACTGCCTGTATTGAACCAATGCTACAAATATTTTTTACTATTTGGTAAAAGTTTCATTTTTATTTATAAATTTTTTTATTGTTTGAACTTATATCAGCTTGCACTTTTGCATTTACTGAAGTCTCTCTTGTAGCTGCTAATTCAGTAAAACAAGGCTCTAGAGTTTTGGCAGCAAGGTGATATATATATTATTTATTTATTTATTTATGTATATTATTTGGCATGGTGGAACTTTAGTAGTAGAAATATTAGGTGGACACAAAGAATTACAAATCGTTGCACTTTTCTTTAAAACATCATAGTTTTATTTCAGTCGAGAATTACTAGTCAGAAGAACCACAGGAATCAGTACAAAGTTTAACAACATGAATACAACTTTGGCATCTCATGAAACTTCGTGAGATTCGGAAACTTGGAACATTTTTTTAGGCATTTGATCATCCTAAGGAAGTGGTAATCAGCAAGGAACGGATTTGGAGAGGGAGAGCTGATGGGACAGTCATATTTAAAGGGATCAATCGTTTTTTTACCGCACTTGAGCTGTGGAGTTTAGTGATTTCAGGTAGTAACAATAGCTCTTCTGTCCCAACGAAATTCAAATCTGCTTTCCTCAGTTTTTGATTTATACTACAATTTTTAATAATTTATCTGCAATGATACGGTCACTATTATTCAGGAGATCTCTCACTTCAGAATTGTTTCGCTGAGTTGTGTTTATCACTTTCAGCTAACGCAGATCCTGCTTTACCGTCCGGTTAAAAACTGAACTGAAATATACTCATTGCCAATTTCTTCTCCAGTCATTAAACGACATCTGCTTTTTGCAACATTTGGCGAAGCCGTTTTAAAAACCAATATGATTCCAACCGTTGAAAAAAGCTTGTGCAGTGCTGAAGACGCATTTTCTGGTACGATTTCTTAAGTTCATAATGCATACACCGACCCAATTTCATTGTCCTGTTTGCCACTCGCCGATGTAGAATGATTGCTCTGACCTTTGGTAAATGTTACGTATTTGAATACAAATCTTCTGTCTTTAAGCCCTTAAACAAGCTAAAGAACAGGAAGCTAACACTGCTATTCTAGTTGTTTGGAAGTGTGCACCAACAATTGTTGAACGGTAATTGAGAAGGCTTGTTGGTCCCTCATTTCTGTTTAAAACTATATTACCGGTCCAGGCTTCTAGGGTGTTAAGTCGGATTTTTCTGTTTGGAGGTAGAGTCTCTTGCGTTCATTCCGTTTTGCCATCTTCGACCTGTTCTTATTCTTATCCTGGTAAGAAACTTTTTTTTCTTGCATACATATATCTACGTGAACAATGTCCTGTAGCTTGCTTAGACTTGACACGGAATCAAAGTAATTCTCGTGGTTGGACAGACGTAACAGAGTGGGAGCCACAAGCTCTGAAGCATTATTCAGAGTAATTAATTCTGAATTAGTCTTAACGGTTATTCTTAGTTATGACCCGTCAAATAAATTTATTGGGAAGATCTTAAGTTTTTCTTAATTTATTTTTGTTTTTGAATTCCATAACCTGTCTCTGTATACTCTGTCTGTTCACAAAGAGCTCTTTAGATGTTTTAACCGTTTGCTAATTATTTTCAAAAGAATTGATTTCTCTTTGTAAAGAGAAAAAAATAGTAGTGAAATCGCGCTTCTGAATTCTAAACTTGAATTTAAGCAGCTTAACATTATGAAAAACCACAGAAGCATTATAGGAAAAAAATAAATGCAATCGACTCTCAATCAGTGTTACAGAATCATCTTTTTCAAATGCCTCGTTAGCTTGGGT